ATTCAGATTAAGGCCTCGACAGGGTGGGTTCGCAGAATTATGGTCTGCTTCGGTAGTGATACATTAATCTTTGTTATTATTATAATAGACCTAACCTCAAAACTTTAGGTTTGTCACGATGTGAAAACGTAATCTATAAGATCTTACGTGAAAGTCACATCATTGTCTATCCGGACTTGTCGTATCGTGACACTCAGCAGAACGATGTTTGACACTTCTGAAGAATATATTCAGTATGGGAATAGAATAATACATTTTAATGTGAATTGTGAATTACTGCGCAGATGACCACACCTGTAAGACTGAGCCATGCCATACCGATCAACTGCTCCCGCGTCCACCATCTTGGGCCTGCCCTGGGTGTTGCATGTTGAATGTAAATCTCAGTAATTATATGCTCAGCTTCAAAATTGTGCTGTTAAGATTCGATACCACCACAAGTTTACTGATTCAGCCTTAATATTAGAAATGCGTGAGTTAGACTCACGACTAAACTGCCTCATGGCGAAAAGAAAATTTTTTTTCTATTACCTGATTGATTGACAAGCGAGGGAGATGAGTCGTCTAGAATACAACGTGATTTATTCCCGATTCCCCGCTACCCGCTAACAATATGGCAAGCAAATTACTTGGCAACAAGTTATTAAGGCAGACATTTGAAAGATCCATCGACCACACAAGGCTGACTAAGATCCTTAGTTATACAGAGTTATCATATGAAACGGGTACAGCTGAAGCCGTACCGGTTTAATCCTGTTCTAATAAATACACCCGTCCCTCTGAGGCCGGAAGGAGTTTTTGTGATCCTTGGAGGGTGGATTATCGCCTAAAGCATCTTCTCGAAGGCCTTCGCAACACTTGATGATAACAGAAATGAGCAATTCGTTAGGTCTCGTCGCATATTTGTGTACAGTTGAGTCAAACGGCACACAAATATATACCATTCACTTGATTTGGAAGTGAAGACAGTTGTACAGTGCATAGTTGTGTAGAGTACCATCTAATTTATTGTAATTTCAAGTGGAATGATGTTACACCATGAATAATCAGGTTTTATTCATTGAGAGCGATAGATCATCTATAGAGCAAAGTACGGAAAGAGTAAAGGACGGAAAAAGAATCATTTATTCTGGCAGTGGTGGGGGCGACATAACAAATAAACGCGTAGCAAAGCAACGAAATGTCGCTAATTATTAAAATCTAAAAAGCAACTTGAACTAGATCGATCATGATATAATACACGAATATATGCAGTTTATTGTTTTACACGTGAACTGAGAAGGAAGCCTTGGTTTTGAAAAGTTTAGACACATTTTTCAATGACATTATGTAGGCAACATGTACCATGTAGAAAAGATTCGAATGAAGTGTAGAGAATGTTATGAGTACTTTATTCTCACATTGATACTAGACACATTAATTAAACCAAGAAGGAGTTTTATATTACTTCCAAAACAGCCTGAAACTATGCAAATCACAAATATAGGAAGAAAATTATATATTAACCACTTAACAACAGTTGTACTATGAAATACTTGAAGTAAAATCCTAGGTGACAGGAAATCTTCAGTCTAAAAAGGTCTTAAGGAATTCAGAAGACGACAAATACAATTTCAAAGGCTTTTTTATTCTTCAAGTCTAGGGATTTATCAAATGTAACAAACTTAAAACGTGAGATAATTTTCGAGACAAATAAATCCATTTCAGTTTCAGTTTGGAAAGGACAGGAGGCTTAATGGCCTGTATTAACCCTGGCAGTTACGGTTATTCAGTTGATCCAGCTTTCTTTTGAAAGAGTCGACGGATGGGGCCTCAGCCACGTGTTGAGGTAATAAATTCCACTAGTTGATGATTTGATGGGAAATTCGATAGTCAGGTGACGAGTAATTTGTTTCGGGACTGTGAACCTTTTTGGAGTGTCCTCGTAAATTCTCTGTTTTGAAAGGCAAGACAAATGAGGGCATATCAGGTGCAAATTTATCACAAAGCAATTTGAAAACTGTAATCAAGTCACCTATAGTTGTTCGATATGATAACAGGAATAGGTTTAGCTTGGCTAGTCGAGTATCATACATGAGCTTCGCTATTCCGGGAATCAGCTTAGTCGCCGTTCTCTGAACCTTTTCCAGAAGCTCACTGTCTTTTTTTAAACAGGGGCTAGCCGCTTGTATGCAGTACTCAAGTTTAGGACGTACGAACACTGTATACAAAGTCAAAAACGTTTTAGCGTCGACATGACTAAAAGCTCTACGTATTGACCATAACGTTCTAAAACCTTTGGCAGCTATTGCACGGCAGTGTGCAGTAGTCTTTAAGTCTTGACTTACGATAACCCCTAAGTCACTATATGTCTGGACGACAGGTAGCTCAGTGTTATTCATCGTGTATGTATCTGTACCTTGATGACTGGTATGCATCACAACACACTTGGAAGTATTTATCGGCAACTGCCAGGTTTGAGACCATTCAGATAACTTCTTCAGGTCACTTTGAAGTTCTAAGCTATTAGTCTTACATCGTATCGTTCTCCATATCTTGACATCGTCAGCATATAGCAAGACCGATTATGATAAGAGACGAGGAAGGTCATTTACATACAAGAGGAATAGCACTGGCCCCAAAACTGTACCCTGGGGTACTCCACTAAGCACAATTCCCCGGCTAGATAACTTTGAGTTCACCCTTACTCTTTGTTGACGCCCAACTGAGAATTCTTCTATCCACATCAATAAATTGCCTCCAATCCCGACTTTTCTTAACTTATATAACAGCCGGTTGTGCGGAACCTTGTCAAAAGCTTTACTGAAATCAATGAAGGCTACGTCTACAGGTAACTTTTGGTCCTTAAGAGCGCACCAGCTTTCACGAGCCACTAATAAGTTAGTGAGACAAGAATAACCTATTCTGAAACTGTGTCGCTTCTCCGAAAGGATCCGGTCTTCATCAACTTAAACAGCTCCTTCCGAATAATCTTTTATAAGATTTTAACAACCACACTAGTTAGGCTAACGGGGCGGCAGTTCTCAGGTTTGTGTTTCGTACCTGTTTTGAAGACAGGACTTACTATGGCGTTTTTCCAGTCTTTGGGTAAACGACATTGCGTCACGGATAGGTTAAAGCATATACTTAAAGGGTTCGCTACGAAGTTAGATAATTCATTCAGTAGCCTAGGATGTAATTTATCGGGCCCCGTGGATTTACTTATGTCGAGCTTATTTAGTAGACCAAAGACATCGAGTTCTTTAATGGTCACGCTGTCCAGTGTTTGTGTGTGGGGATTTGTAATGAAGCCTCACAACCCGAAAATTTACAATTTTTAGGTCTTTTCGCCAGCTTTCAACCAAAGTTGTGGTTCTTTTTTGGCTTCCTGCCTTTTTTCTTGGTCTGCCAACGGCAATTCCTTACGGACGAAAACCCCTGAACCCTTTAATTTATGTCGATTTTGTAAAATTAAGTCCCGTTCATTTTCCGATTTTAATACTACATCAAGCAGCCTGGTTTGATTAGGTTTTAAGTTCACTTGACTACCTAGTCTATACACCTTTAACAAGGTGACTCCGGAGATATTTTCAGGCTTAAGTTGACTTGGTATCTGTTTTATCAGCCCAAAGTCATGCTCAATTGGAGATTTCCGTTCAAAGCTTTTACTCTCCTTGATTCTATGAAAAATAACTGACCTGTCACTGTGATCAGTCTTCGATTTCTCGACTACTTTTTTTTGGGGGGGAAGATTCTCTTTCATATCGCTATGTTGTTTCTTCCTTACAACCTGTACCCATTCGCCAACGTTGCTTGGAGTAGCAAATATAGTCGCGTCAAATATATCGTGGGATTCGGGAGGGTTATCGACAACTCAGGAAGTCAGGTTGTTGTTCCCGCTAAAAACCGATCGAGCCTTGCTACTGTGGTTCCTAAGCGTTTCCTGCTGGATGCCATTTAGAGGACGGGGGAAAGAGAAAAATTCCTTTTTTGAGTTTTTATTCAAGACAGACCCCTTTGAAGACTATCTTTCCTCCTTTGATCGATATGGGTCAGCAATCTTCGAGCTCGCCTGAATTTGCTTCACATCAATTTGTGTGTTGACAGAGCGAGTGCTGTCCAATCTGCCCCGACCGCGCTTGTTAAAACACTTTTTTGCAGTATTTGCAGCAATGAGATTATCTCGAGTAGCAAGCTGTTTGCGTCCGAACAGCACTGCTGAAAAGTCCATAAGCAACCGTTTTTACCGAATCGTTTAAAAGCTGCAGGCGTCAAATTCGTGCAAACTCCATGGTACTAGCCTTTGCACTCATCGCACTGCATGCCGCTTTCAATGGGATATCGACAGCTCGGACGTTGTCAATTGTTTATTTGCACTGCCTAGTCATCAAACAGAGGTCCTGTTTCTAAAAAATAGATACAATAGTACTCAGAAGCAAAAATGATCTATGACCAAAAAAATGGAAAACTGTAAATTGTTAGGACCAAAATTACTAACAAATACAATAGAAAACAAAATACTCAAAAGCACCGACAATAAACTACTTCAGAAACATAAATGATACTAATCGAATACTTTAACTGAACTAAATTCAATCAAAGTGTAAACAGTAGTCTCGCTATGTAATAAACGATCAATACAATAAAATTTACTCAGCGAGGAAAAATACCACTGCCCTTTTAAATAACGCGCGTGTCGTTGAATTGGATAATTTGAAAGCCGTTTGAAATGTATCAAGAGCAACTTTAAAGAAACATATGCATAAGATTCAACTTAGCACAATAAACCTCAAAATGACTGAAAGTTATTTGCTTCGTTTTTTGAAGACCGAGTGTCACACACACCACTTGAAGTTCCCTTATTAATGCTTCGTTGGACACCAAACACGACCTTTTTATTGTTATTTCGGATTTATTTCGCCCTAAATAACTTAACTTCTAACTGGTATTATTTCTAAATACTAATGCATCTGATCAAACATCAGGTTATACTTTAGTAGTGTTTGTTTGTACCAGTCATCAGTGAGCGAGATTTGGTCTTTCTCCGAAGATGGCGTCGTCCTCCTCAGCTGAGGGCATGTCCATCACTAAGGGAGGAAGTATATTAGTAAAAGTTGAAGATCTCATTGGAGAATTGATTTCTGTCAAGCTTATAGATGGGGATAAAATCTTCCGTGGAATTTTACTGCAAGAAACTATTGGGTAGGGTTGTTTGAACGGTTTTTCGAAACGTACTATTTATTGTCCCTCTCAAGATTAACTGAAGCTTATGAAAGTTGATATTGTCCAATAGTTCGCAATTTTCTTCTGCTTTTTAAACACCGATATAAGCTAAAGATCTGGCTAGATAAACTTAATAATTCAATTTCGAAATTCACATGAGTCACATGTTTAGTTTGTCTACACATATTCTCTGACTTTGGGAAAACACCCTCTAGTTAGCCTTATTGTAGCTGCTCGAGATTCACATTTTCACAGCTTTGATGTCATACAGTCATTCTTAATGGTATTTCTCTCGGAATGCTTATTTGTTTCACTCATGTAGTCACCTAAAGATCAGATTTCAAGAAGTTCCCTTGTCAGTTAGTCTTGTGAAGATGAGTTACTCGCTTACCGCTATACAACGTTCTTTCTGACTTCCATTTAAACCTATAAAAAGCGTCGGGAGTGAGTTTTCTAATCACCATAATGCCTATATATTAAAAATGCTTGTCATTGATGAAGTGCTCACCGCGCTAAGTATATTCTGTTTGCTGTCTTGCGGCCTGATGAAGTCTGGTTTCTGTCGAAATGGTTGCTCAGTAAGATTTTTTACGTTTACATTATCTATTTAATGTTTTGGTTGGTCCAGACAACTGCTTCAAACTTAGTAGGTTTAAATACACACTCCTCGGAATTCTTAGTGATGTATGGTAGAATGCCTAAAAAAATAAAAAGGATACTAAAGTATAGCATTGGTTTTTATCCGTATAGGGAGTATGTTAATAGAGCAAATGATACTCAAGTAATACAGTTCGCTCTTAATCAGTTGGCAATTGGTGTTCGTAGGTATGGGATGCACCTTGCACCTTCCGGGTGAAAGTACGTCTTCAAGACTGGAAAGACCCTGAAATTGAAAAGTTCGCGTATCTGGGTAGCTGCGTAAGTGCTAGTGGTGGCGTGAGTGATGACATCCATTCATGTATAGTGAAAGCCAGAGCGTCTCAAGCCAATCTGCGCCATCTTCGGCACCTTCATGATGTTAGTCTGATTGTTAAAAGTTGGGTCTGAAACGCGTTGGTGAGAATTTTGCTTTATGCTTGCGTAACTCCACTTCTCCGAGTTGGGAATGTTCGACGAATCCGTGCCTGGTCGTTGTCCATGAAGGACTGCTGACATTCAGCGACATCATGTTAGTAGTGCAGAGGTTCGGCAGTGTGTGTTCGGGCACAGTTGGGACAATTTGATTGATATCACTATCTTGTAACATCGAATCCGGTGTCTTGGGGATGTCGTCCCAGAAAATCCCACGTCGTGCATTATTTGTCAACGCTGGGACACGATTTTGTTGGTCCTTCATAATTCCCTTGAAATGAAAGCAAGTTTGGATCTTGCTGTAACTTTCTTTTACTTCATAAAAGTGAACATAACTTCCTTAACTGAGAGAATTATTTCTGGTTGTATTTTTGCTAACTGGATTGCTTCCCCGATTATTATTTCACTCCCATACACTAATTTTTTTCGATTGTCGCTGTCTTTGTTATACTCATCTTCCGTCCTCTATCTCCACAACCTCATCGTTATTGTGTGGTGCAGTATCACAGCCCACACGCAAATCAAGTGACTTGAGTGACGCATATGTATTCGGTGCCTCTTTGTACCAATATTTATATGTTCAAATAAGTAAGGAAATCTGCCACGTTAACCGACTATGTATGGAATATCAAAAATGGTGGTAAACCACCTGGTGTAAGCATACGCTTTCATCGATTGAGGTATTTTAAGCGCATTACATATAATTAGCTTGTGGTTGTATCCCAGTGCTATGCATACGCATCTTAGAATTTCAGTGGTAAACTAAACGAGGTAGCATTTTCGTTGGACTTTTCAGCGCCATATGTGACTAATGCAACTCATATGAATAAAGCGGATTGAGTGCATGGAGTAACCTTAAAAGTTATGGTTTTTTACGTCTTGAAATCCTTAAGTCAAATTACATTTCACCAGAGCGTATCACAAATATATAAACTAGAGTCTGTAGCTCATTGAACTTCAACTATTAAATCTCCTACCTTTTATTCTGCGGATCCACTCTTGAATCATATTGTCTACACTTGATTTTCCATACTACCACATAATATTACTACTACTCTAGCTTGTCTTGATAATTCCATCCCACTGTGCTGATACGGTCTGGTGACTAATGCATGTGTGTGCCAGGGCCTACGCTGCCCGTGATTGATTAACTGTCAGGTCTTAAGTCTGCTGTTATTTTTCTATTCATATCGCTCAGCGCCTCCGATTTTCACTATTTGATGCATGTTATACAAGCCTGTACTTGTCTGCTAAGTTTTGTTAGTCTGATTTAATAAGGTGATACACGACAAATCAATTGGTAGATTATGCAACCGTCTAATTACTAGTTTAGTATTGTTCACATCTGAAGTGGAAACGTCTTGTCAAGTAATCGGTTCACATTTTAGTCTCTACGTAGACCGGTGTTAAAACCTATTGTGGATAGTAGTATTAGTAGTTGTAATACTTTCACAACTGTTTTCTCTTTATACTTTCAGGATGTATAAAAGAGAAAAGTTTTGCGTATTATTTCTTGTCCTCTTTCACTTAGCTTTTGCTTATCATGGGGCAGTGGCTTAGTGATTAAAACCAACTCTTAGCCTTTCCCAGGTTCAGATCTCGCTTCAACTACTTCATTCTGGGCAACCGTGGAGTATCACTAGTCCCCACGTTTAGGATGTGACTCATGCCTTTGTACCTGGTAAATAAGTTAATTTTGATTGACTATTCTTTTACCATTTGGTTGTTGGTTGCTCTTCTACACTATATGTAATTGCTACTTTTATATTCTGCTGCTTTTGTCAACCTAAGTTAGTTTCCATCTTTTAATCAATAAAGAGATAAATCTGATCAGCTGTTTGCTGTTGAGAGAGGTTTATCATTGTCAACTCCTGTTGTGTTACTGATGGTTCTAGTTTTTACCAAACAATGAGTGTTTTATTTTGGTCCATGACTCTTAGGTAGGATTTGACTAATGGCGTTAAGTTTTTGTTAGTCTATTAGTGTCTAGCTATCACATTAGGTGACTTCATTGAGGGCTGTACCATGACATCGAGTTGGCTTAATTTTCTCAGCCGGTCATTCTGTCCTGTAGTTTACCACGCATGTTAGCATTATAAAAAGTCGAAGAAAAATGATGATTCCATTAAAGAAACAACTGTGCGGCAAAAAACTTTCTAAAAAGTACTGACATTGCCTTTATGGTAATTTCCATATCTTATGTGTTTTCTCTAAATCAATTGTTAAATAACGTAGCTCAAGTAATCGAAGGACATTTTGTCGTACACATCAGTTGTCGAGTGGTTGAAGCACCTAGTACGCCTCCTTACCATCAACGTATCAATAAAAAGACTCTTATTACCGCATATTTCAAGTATGTAGTAGCTTGAATATAATTGGTTGTAATTCGAGAAATATTGTTATTGTAACGAGCCTTTAGCCATCCTATATATATATATATATATATAATGAGCAATATAGACCATGGTGCGTGTATCAGCTCAAGTTGCCACACTATATCATCACAGCAAGGTGATATTATCAAGACGAATGCTGCTGTAGTATAAACTGTAGCAATGTCAGTAGTAGTAAGAAAAACGGCATGATAAAGAAAAAAAATTTGTGGACTAAAAGTGTGGGTATTTTAAGGTAAAAAGACTGAGTGTGTCTGTGCTAATTACCAGCCATTTCATCCTTCACGTATATTCCGAACGCTGCTAAATAAATATTGTTCTTCTGTTATCTCAGAAAAAATAGTTCTGATTTCTTGAACACTTTACCGTCGCTGTTATTCAAGTAATATTGGGTATATTAACGCTTCTTTCTTTCACTGTTGGATTTTGAGAATAAATATCCATTTAACTCGGGTTAATATCATTTTGCCTTATTTACCTTTTAGTTATCATGTTGTAGGTATCATAATAGCATAGAAATGTCCTATGAAAGTCGTAAGACATCTTAGGTATGTAAAATTTTAATCTAATCACTACCGTTATCCATATCTTAGAAATGATGGTACGATGAGTTAATCTACTTTGGTAATATTTATTCTCACTATATAACTTTTTCGTATCAAGGATAGGTTTGTGTACGTAGTTTTGAATCCCAATTTATCTTGAGAGTTAGGGATGCTACTCGACTGACTAAACCGAACTAAATAGAGCAGGATTTGTACGTAGGAGTAGTTGGTTGAAAGTCAGTTCACTTTCGTGATTAATCCATCTCTCCAAGATAATTTCAAAAGCCCTGTGTTATTCGAAGACACCAATGAGTATAACTGGTAAGAATATAGAAGTTTTAGCGTAGAAATACGAAAATAACCAGTTCACAATCATTCTACGACATCGTAGTCAAACGAAGGGTGAATAAAACTAACATTGGTGATTAATTATTAAGTGATACCCGATGCCATGTTTGTTTAGTCTTTAGTGTTTATCGACCAAGTTACAATGTGGTCACTATTCTTAGTAATTCGATGTCATATGCACTATGCTTTGATATTAAGTGGGTACTTGTGCTTCTTACCAATGACTTACAACTAATTACCTGATTCTTTTACATCACCCTATTCTCAATTTGTGTAGATCTTTTTAATTCACCACTTCTTGTAATAGCGTTTATTTAGTCTAAACATGTACCTTTCTAGAGTAGCTGCAAAATTTCAATTCTGCTGGATGAAATCAACGAGGAAAGTAAAGGACAAGCACTTAATAGTTACTAACAAAGAAAGTAAAGTAAGACTTGAGAATCAAAGAGTATAGCACAATAAGGTTTCCGAAATTTGCAAGAAAGTGATAGTCACACTTATTTGCTCACCAATTTTGATTTTAAGTTGTTTCGTCTTGTATCCGATCAATAACTATTTCGTGGACCTGGTAATTAGTATATGTATTTATTGATGTGATCAAAAGGTTTATAAATTGGTTTGATTGTTTTTCTGCTACCACTGATAAATATGAGATTCTATATACAGAAGTTTACAGTATAGTATATATTGTCTCTGCGACTGAAAGTATTACTACAAATTCAGTCTGTTGCGTTGCATTGGTCAGCGAGAATAATCCTGAAGTTAATGTCCCACTTTTTTTCCAAAGAACCTTTTGCTAGGCGTTGACTCTACATTCCATCCCCGACTGTTCAATTCAATTCATAACTGACAATTGTGTTAAATAAAAAATCGATTACAATTATGGTCTAATCTTATTTCTATCAATCATTTCAAAACATTGGTCGATTTCAAATCCAACTTGAGCAAATATGATTCATATTCAATAAACTTCTCATTTCATTGTATTGACCGTGTATATTTTCTTGAAGGTCGAATTTATTTCCATTAAGATAAATTCCATTTAATCCTGCTATTAGATTGGAGGAAATTGTCACTCCAGTTTACTCTTGATGTATCTTCTAGTCTTGACACAGTTTTTGTAAGTATTCCATATACAATGATTTAAAAAGATGTTGACTTCCTGAATCTTCATACGTTATTTTTGCTAAAAACTAGTGCTTATCATGACCAGTTTATTCACCAATCTGTATTAGATAAGCCATGTACCTCAATAATCTGTTAAATTTTAATGATAATATGAATGTACTGATTTGTTTTGTTTCTGGAAATGATGAAATTGGTTAAATTTATTGTTCCCTTAGTATTATGGAGATCCAGCTTTAAATGGATGTGGCTTACAGTTTAAAATGCATGAACAGAACCGTGGCGACTACTTTTTGTAGGTTTGAGCCATATCAGTGGGTGTAGAGTGCCTGGTTGGGGTCTAGGCCATTGTCGTAACGATCGATTAGATATTTTGGGTGTCATGGTTCTAAGTCGCTCCCAATAGTAGAGTTGCATCCACTTCTCGTCTTTTTCTAGGACCTGAGTCCTGAAATCTCCATGTACCTTTCTTTTTTTACTACTGGTGTTGCTACTACCTTTACTATGTCTTTAATTTTCTTTCTGCGCTAATGTAGCAACGCAACTTAAATAAAAAACATGCATCAGGTTCTACGTTGGCTATGATAATGATTTGCAGGTCTTTCAATATTTTCTTGCTTATTATCGTTCTGACTATTAATAGTAATGTAGTTAAATATTGACTCTTTTACTTATCCAGAGATAAATTAGTTGTGTTAAGGACTGTAACCTGAAGCTAATGATCATGTCCCATCTATCTATGTCTATGGTGGCGTTGGTGCATAAGGCTGTGTTTATGTATCATGTTAGTCCATCGAACATTTGAGAAGAGAGCATTTTTCATAGTACCCAATGGTGAGTTTGTGTTCTAAAAAATGCGTAAAATACTTCGAACTTACTCAAATGGATTTATTTGAAGTACATTTTAATACATACAACTAAGTTATGAACTGTCCAAAGCATCAAACAACAGAACCATCGATAAAAAATGTCTTAATTTTTGCACGTTTGGATGTTTAACATTAGTCGTAGAAATGTCTATTGTTTACCTGTTTTGCAATTGAATATCTGGTATCCTGCCTTCGAACTACTTGTTTTTACTACTATTTTCCCATATGCATATTTGACTTGGATTGTTATTTTCACGCTATCTGATTAAAGGTGGATCTGGAATGTTTAGGTCGCTAATTATTCTGCTAGCTTATTTGGATCCTGTGGCAAGAGATTAAGATACACTATTGGGAATCACTCACTAACAATTCTGCGTGACTTTCGCTGGATATCAGGATGATCTTAATGAATTACAGCTCGTGTTGGTTTCTGTTTTTTTCTACCTTATAGTTTCACTTCTGGTCGGTAATCTTGCCTCAGCTGCTGAGTAAACGGTAATAATAAGATCAGTGACTTCTTCACGAACCAATTTAATAGCATGGTGGGTTATTAGTTTTTCTCCAACACTAGTTTACATAGTGTGATTGATAAAGGCTAACCATTCATAACAAGTTCCAACCACTTTAGTCGGTGAACGTTTACAGTGGGACTTGCCACCTTCCTTGGCATTCCTCATTAGCTTCTACCCGGTTGTCCCATCATACATCTGTAATACTTCACTCTTAAAACATGCGTCATCCACATAAATACAATTCTGGTAACATTATATACCCATGAATTATTACTACTGAGCAGCACTACATTCAAACTTTGATATGCAGTTAAACGTGTCACCTACACTGTAATTGATAATAAGTAAACTAAGTAATATTACGTTTCGTTTCCTCTTTTGCATCTATCACATTGTCCTCGCTTATATGCAGCTAGCTGTCAGTAAAATGTACTACCTACCTTTTTTGTTTCACGTTTTTATCATTAAAACAAATTAACATTCAACTTATAGATTTTGCTTGGTAAATAATACTACTACTTCTCTTCGTGGGTCCCTAGATTCAACGTCATGATTATTTGTATATAAGCGAGCCCATGTAATATATTACATCACTCAAAATGGGAATTTGTTAAAAGTATATCATTTAGGAATAGGACAGTCTATCATCGACCAAGAAGATTTTACACCGTAAATTCATCTTCGTCATCATTAGTTCCTTTTTGCATCTAAAGTTTTTAATTGGAATCTATTTTAGTCTTATGTAAAACAATAGTTTCTTGATTAATAGTTTTGACTCAGTTAACCTTTGTCGTTCGACCACGTGTATGTTATCTCATGCTTCCACTTCTAGTTATAGCTCAATATTTCATATACATTTGAGTGTTTTCTTGATATTGAGTCTGTATTCAAAGAAATGGATTTTTTTTACAAAAGTAAAGTAGTTGATAAAATAAACATTTCACTTGTGTTCGGTAAATGTTTTGATTGGGACATAAGGTGATGTTGGCGATGAATTGTGTGTGTGTAAATAAGAATTCTGCACATAAGATTTCACTTTAAAGAAAATCAAATTCATAGAATCTTTCACCAGTATTTTTAGATGAACAGTAAAATGAGTTTCTCGTTAGAAATGCAAAATGAGCTCAATAGATAAGATTAGAATCAGTTGTCACTAGGATTGATTATTCACACTCCTAGCCCATGAGACAAACGATGTTTCAAATGAAAAAGCTCCTTAAGTAATAGAAGTAAGGTTAAAGAAATACACACGAATATGTAAGGTCTTTTAGATGTTAGAAATCACGACAGTAATCTAATGCCAATAATCGTATTGCTCTTACTGGTAGGAAAAGTCGAGAAATTATTGCACACTGTAAACACGAATCAATGTGACGACTAAGTGCTTAATGTGTTGTTTGGTCTTAATTACACCATACTAAAACTTGTGATGGATACTAGTGACTAACCATATTTTATTCAGTGAAGCTTCAAAATGTACAATATTCTTGTTATCGTACACATTATTGTTTACACAATGAAATTCTCAAAATTTAAATAAATTGACTTAAGCTAAAATTCGGTGTTTTTTTTTGTAGAAAATTCAATGAATATGGGACAAATTTAGAAAGAATAACTAGTGCACCATTTTGGCCTCCTTTAAGTGGAACAGCATCAGGGATAAACCTCAAAACTATTCCTTGTTCAACTGAACGTTATTCCTACAAATTGGAAGGCCAACCCTCAAATTTAAATGTCTTCCAGCCTGATCCAACAAAACGAAGTCATCGAAACCAACCAGCCCCACAATTGTCACGAATATTACGACCTCGGCGATTTGTTTGTCGAAAATGTAAAAAAGCATTCCATTTAGAAGAACATGGTACGGAACTTTCCTCTTCCTTCCTCACTGATCAGATAGATCGTCGCACTTCGGATTCATCTGCCCTAAATTCAGACAACGAAATAAATCATTATCTTCCTAAAAGCAACTTTTCTGAACAAATTACACTAGCGACACTCAATGGAAATTCTCAGTCTATTCGCCACGTCACTCCACCAATCATCCCCAAACTAAATGAAGAAATGAAGATAAATGTGGATGATTCGTCAAAATCAGAAATTGATTCTAGTTCTGATATACGCTCAAAATCTAAAAAGCATTTTATTTCTGAACAGTCGACTAAGACTCCAGAATCGTTAGAACCGAAATTAGTCATGTCGAAGAAACGGAAAGTCGATGTTATTCCCGATAAGCAAAAGCTGAAGAAGATTAGACTAGGTTCTCAGAAACCCACTGAACCGATTAATGTTAGTAATACAGTCCTGGTCGCAACACCACCTGTCGTTGATCCGGATTCATCTGACCCTGCAGTACCTTCATCGGAGGAAACCAAAGATTTTCCTACTTCTCCAATCCTAGTCGGTAAGACAGATTCTTTTGATTCTCTTTCGTCTCAGGAACAAACTCGTAAGAATCGAATCAAAGCTCAATACGTATCTGTCACCTCTCCATTTCGTTATCCGTTTGGGAAAAAAACTAGAATCTCTTCCAAACAAGAAATTGGAAATATCAACTCGATTAGTGATAGCAGAATAAAAGTTGAACCAAACGCTACTCGCAAAGGTTCTGAAAAATCAGAAATAATTTCATTAACATCTTCAAAAACGAATCTTGGCGTACGAAAAAACTCTCGATACCGTACTCGTACTCAGCTGAACCCACTTTCTGTCACTTTGGATTCACTGGGTCCTTCTTGTTCTGTGAAAGATTTAGAAAGTCGTTCAGAAGTGGATGAAATTCTACCTAGTGATTCTCTTGATGGTGATTTTCCACAAAAAGAAAATATCCCAAATAGTATAAGCCCACGCCTGTCAAGCCCATCTAAGGAGAAGCATTCTGCTTCCGTACAGTTAACTTGTAAAACGTCTACGTATGGACACAATTCTGCCTCAAACAATTTTGGGATTTCTATGAGTGAGAGTAATTTCTCTCCACAAAGTCGACGTAAAGCTTTTGATTACGAAAAACCAAAAAACAGATGGATGCGTGAAGCACGAGCTAGAAGGTGTCAAGATGAACGAAACAGTAATCCTAGTTCCACTGCAGCAAGTCATATTTCAACTTCATCCAATAATACAGATACGGAAAACTCTGCATCATGTAATGCACAATCTCCTAGTTTAAACCGACTGCGAATTCGGTCAGGTGATGGATCTAGTGTTAGTCCTAGCGAAAGTACTTTAAAAAGTAATAGCAATGTATCTTCTAAGGTTAAGTTGCATAATGGGTCGTTAAGCAATCGTAACATTGAATCAGGGGACGCTTCACAGTCCGAGAAATATTTGGACATAACTGACCAAAAGTCTACATCTCATGTGTCTCCATGCTTGACCCCGACAAGTGATAGTTCTGGTCTTGCCCTTCCTGTAATAAAGATTAAAATTAATCGGAATAGACAACCTTCTGGGTGTTCGAAAACTGTACCGACGCAATATGAAGTTGTCAAGTTACAGAGTGGTTCACATCTAGAATTAGCTACTTCGGCTTCTAAAGTTGTGAGTGAAGAAAATAGTTCAATAGCGAATGCGAATCCATCTGCTTTGAAGTTAGACATTCTTTGCAATGGTTTACGTTCACCGTCATCGTCACCATCCGCCAGTTCTTCAAAGAAGGGATCTACATGCGAGAGTTTAATAATATCAGGTCCTTTAGTAAAACGCTGTAAGTTACATGACGGCATTGTTTTTCGTGTCGGTGACCTAGTTTGGAGCAAACTTTCAGGATGGCCTTACTGGCCTGCACAGATTACTAGCATACAACGTGTAGTTGCCAATGAAGTTGATTTACCGAATTCTGAACAAGTACGCCCCGTCGTGGATTTCCAAGAACAGTCATCTCCACTTTTAACATCAGAGCAGGTTTGTTATACTGCCTGTCTTCATTGGTTTGCTTGGAATCAGGTGTCATACATGCCATGTGATAAATTATTTCATTTCCTAGAACATTGTAAACGATTTGATAACAAAAAGAAACGTGGAGTTTTTCGCCAGGCAGTTAATGAAGCAAAACAAGCGGCAGAAAAAAGGCAAGAAACTCACTCTACTGATAGTGAAAGTGAATGGGATCACGAAGTTTTTAGCAGCACAATACATCAACAATCTTTATCTCAGCCATCTGAAATATCTGTTCTCGATGATGCCAAACAGTTGAAGGTTTCACAAACTGCATCATCACTATCCATTCCCGACATAAACCTTGGTGTAGAAGTGAACGCGACCACAAAGCGAAGTAAACATCTAAATAACAAAGTAAGAAAAAACAAAACCAAAGTCTCTTGTGAGAAACAAGAACCTTCGATGTTATGTCCATCAGTTGTTGATTCTTCGAATGTATCCTTAGGTCAAAGTACCTATAATAACATAGGCGGGGAAGTCACTGCGTCTATAGAATCAAACTTACATGTGATATCTAAACGTAAATCAAAACAGCAGACTAAAAATAAGGTTTATGCTAATACTTCTGAAGATAAAAAGTTGTTGGTAGAAGAGTACAATTCTTCTTTAACAAATAATAAATCTAATGTTCGTTTAAAAATCATTCTTTCGAAACCGAAATTGAGAAGTAAGCTCAAGTGTGCTGAAGTTTTGAGCAATAATGCACAAAATTCTTTTGAAAATGAAGTTAACAATTCTTCTTCATTACCGAATATAGATGTCCCAATTACTAATAACAAAATACATCAACTTGTTGAAAATTCATCAAAAGAAGACACAGAAAGTCCATTTACTTCAGGGATTATTCCTGAATCAAATATATCAACTACCGATTCACAAGACTTTGATAAAACATTTAGTGCCACACATTCAGAACTCCTAACTCAATTCCCACATGTATTTCCGGATCTCAAAGTTTCAGGTATTCTATCCGACACAGTCGATATACCTACATTTTCTGAGGATGAATCTGAAGAAGAAGATGCTGGTCGTTTGATTATTGATCCTGATGTAATGGCTTCAGTCAACGTTCCCTTATCAACTGGTAATCATCATTACATTACCGAGACTTTAAAACAGGATCCGGATGTTCTTCGAGAAGATTTATACAGTCTTTCCTCCGATAATATGTCCTATAACCATGAACTATCATCTCAAGCATTTGATAGTATTCATCCATACTCTCGAACGTCTTCAACTACTCTTACACAACCGTCGATGTCGAGTTTTGGTAATCCAGTTTACTCATCATCCGATTCATTTACTCATTCTTTCAATTCCTCAACATATTCAATGGAATGTCTAATATCTCAACCAGTTTCAGTTTATCCAACACATAATCAGTCATTGATCCAAACTGTTGTGCCAAGATTAACAACTCCACCTATTTTGGCGTCATCTACTGTATCGAACCTATCAGTACCCAGTAGAAGTGCTTATTTTCAATCTAACCATCTTAATGTTCCATCAACTACAACGCATAACGTTTCCTATGTTACTACTGAGTACTCAACATTATAACTGTAAGTTAACTATTTGCTTACTTCCTTGGCACTATTCCATTGACTCCTTATTTTCGTATTTCTGTGCTTGTCAACATCACTACACTTACTTTGTATTCCTAAACAGCTTGAAACTTTTAAGGTTATTATTGACTTTAAGGCGACATTCGATTGACTGATAGGCTTTGCGAAAGTTTTTGTTTTCACAATCTGTACCAAAGAAGTACACAAGCATTGTAAATGTTGTTTGCTCAAATACTGCTACTTGAGTCAAAGCTTGTGAAGATTGTTACCAGATTTTTAAACATCAACTGTTTTTCGTTAGGGCTGCCAACTTTACCCATTTCCACTTTACCTTGTTCTAGTCATTCTTTCAGAGATAACACTCGTCTTACTTTTCAGGAACTGACCTCCTGTCAGGTGATTTTATAGAGATGGTCGAATTGCAGGGTTTTCTGATCACCGTGTATTTTATGACGTGTTTCTTCCTCTTAAAAGGCAAAACATACCTTCATGACTATCTGTGGTAACATCTGAATCGATGGTAAAATTCATGTAGTTGAGTTTATTGACCTCTTCACTTATCTTGAAAGTCTTGTCAGCCCTTGTGAATTGGTGTTTGATAATATCTTCGCGTGGACTCAGATAGCTGACTTTGACTTTGTAAACTTTCACCAATCATGTCGTACTCGAGATGTCTGTACGCCTATTAAAGGACAATTATGCTGTATAACAGTTCTCTCTATTATACTTTATGACCGTAAAACGCAGTTATCGGAAGTAGAGAATATTTGTAGATCATCACTATAAATCAACTCTGTCCAAATTCTAATATCTGTGCTGGTATTTTATTAAAGCATTGGTCAATACAAATTTGTACCAGTTGAGTCGATTTTGATTAACCAACCATATATATTAGCAAACGTTGTACAGTTTAAATAAATGATTTCGTCGAAAAGAAAATTTTCTTCGTTTTGTAATGTTTTGATAAGGGAATGTTATTTGTAGATAAAAGTCAGATGCTGTTATTTCAATATTCTATGTGTGATACTCAAAAAGAGCTCTAAATTGTAGAATCTCTTTTGTTCGGTATGATCCGTGTTTATATTTTATCAAATTGTTGTCGTGCATTTAAAGTACCATGTATTAAAATTGGTATGATTGAAATTATTCATGTGTGTATCCAATCTTATACTCTTGTCTCATGAGCTACCTTTCCAATTGGGTATGTTTGTAATCTTTTTCTGAAATCTGTCAGTAATTTTATACTGTCAACTCTCAAGTTAATCACGAAATGTGAAGTGATCACACTATCAGTCTATCCAATTACGGTGTTCCTCTCTTTACCCGATACTATGTGTTTGCTGGAATTCCAAATACATTAAGAGCGGAAATATATAACACGAGCTGTTATTTGAAAACAATTTCATGTATAGAATTTATTCCTATTTCCAAATAAGTCACAAATCCCCTATTATTCAACGGTAAAATCTCTAATTAGTACCTGGAACTACTTAACGAGCTTTATGATTTTTTCACCATTTTAGATACATCTCATCAACTGACATCACCCAAAAATTAAAATGGAATCTACGATTCACTTATAGCTGTTACTTGAAATGATTCAGTACAAATCATTGTAAAATATGGTTGTAATTTTCATCATAGATTTATGTGCTTAACTAGTATTTCCAAATATTATTTCATTTCTACTGTATATCTCCCTTCCAAAATCTCTTCAGTATGAGTTAATTATTTTTTCTTTTAACATTTGGATTTAATTAATCCCTCCCTGTGATGATGATCTTGGCGTTTAACATTAGTCAGCACCGATTTTTTTCTCTTACTACTATTTCTTTGGGACAATAAATGAAAACCATTATTAGACTTTCGTCCAGACAACATTTAACAAAAGCATCTGTGAAATGATGATATAATACCTCTTGTTTATTCTTTTGTATATTTTATATATATATTTATCTCAACGCCTCTCCTCCGCTCTTTCTTCCTTGCTTGTGATTTGTGATGTTTCTGAACACCATGTGTACATATATACATATTTATTCAATAGTTAACATTGCTTTAAATTATCTCCTGTTACCGTTATTTTCTAAAATCATTGTAAATTATTAACTTCCTTGCTTAAGGTTCTGGGTGCGTGTGCATAACCCCTTAGGATTCGTGAGTTTACTTAAAATACTGTCTTCCTTTTTGTTTTTCTGCTTTTGACTTTGTCTAATCTCAAATAATTTCCGCGATTTACACGTTGAATTATGATGGTTGACACTGCTGTCGTTGTACGTATATTTGTCTTATCTTTTCTGTCGTGCGTCATGTCGCTACTAGAGAATAGGTGTATGATGATTTGTCGAATTTCTACACATTTATTTACTATTTTATTAATACTACGGTAAACTATGTAAGAGATGTGGTACAATGTGCATCGATTCAATTTCATACACATTGAAAATAGCCTTTAGAGACTAAGAACTAATTAATGGAAACAATAATTGGAATAAAATAATAGTGAGATAATTACTGTCAATCAGTAGTCGCAAAATTGAATTAATCGTATGTTCAAAATGAGATGATTATTTTTGTTAAAAGACTAAAATTTGATGATGGGGATCTTTAAACGATTATTTTTATTAGCTTCGTGATTCAACGTCAGTTTTAGTTTTACTAGTCTAACTGTTGGCTTCAAAAATGTACATGTGTAATAGTGTACACTTGCGGTTGAAATTAAGATAACTGGTGTAAACTGTCAAGTTGGATTCGTTTCAATAAACAGCCACTTAAGTCCTACTAACAGTGGCATTTTTAGTGGCCCGTGGATCTGACTCCTATCGTATGGATGTTTGCTATCGCCGATTCTCGTTTATCATCGACTTTAATCACGTTAGTCAATAACGGAATCAAATAAGTCAAATAACGAGAATGGGATTTTGAATACATATACTTTGTATATAAGGTGAATGGAATAGCAGGAAGAGAAGCGATGCGGGGTGGAGATCGCTGGTGAGCCAACTCATTTTTACACAGGCGTCAGCCAATATTTATAGGCAGACAAAAATAAGCTACAGACATGTGATGAGACATGGGATAAGAAGTGTACACACATATACGCTCACATAAAAACAATGAAGACTGGTAAGCGAATAACTAACAAGGTCAACATATGACTCAAGTAGAATGAATGGATTGGTCTGTCCGAAAACTAGAATAAGGTAAATGGGCTTAAAATAATAACTGACACTACATATTTACATATTCGATCATGCTAAGACTTGATCTGGGTGAGTAATGTACCTTAGTCGCTAGTCTCATGTTGATAAATGTCTTAGATATCCATTGTTTTGCGGATGTTTTTTGTATAATGAAAGATTTTCTCTGGCAACTACTTTTGTGGTGAAATTATAAGTTGCTCGGCAGTACACTTGCAATTATCGGATTACAGGGTCCGATCCCGCCTAATTTAATTCAGCTAGCCAACAGGGATTGTTAGTCAAGACAAGGTATATCATACCTTAAAGTCCAGTGTGCGGGCCCGTAACTTATTTTTCAACAGAAATTTCAGATTTTCCTTTAGATAACTAAAAATTTCAGTTAATAAGTGATGAATAGTATGTCGAATTAATAGGTCCATAAGTATATTCGACTAAAAAACATAAATTTGTCTTATTCCGCATCACTTCATCCTAAGTTTCTTATCGTAATTGTGTTTTTCATTGGCTAAATAATTTTTTAATGTATCTTACTGTTAGCACAGACAATATTTTGATGTCTAATGCATGATGTAAGCGCTGATGTTCTACAGGTCTCCGCCTCATACAGTAGGACTATCTTGACATTTGTTTTGAAAATTCTGACCTTGGTGTTGGTTGACAATTGTTTTGAGTTCCAGATGTTCTTCTCTTGCTTTGCCGATTCGCGCCTTCACATCTGCATCAGATCCACCGTCAATGTAAAGGTTTTTACATCTTCCAAAGCTTCTTCGTCAAGTGTGATTCGATTGTTGCATGCTGTGTTGTGTCGGAGAATCTTGCTTTTTCCTTTGTGTATGTTGCGACCTGCTGAGGCTGCTGCTACACTGGTCGTCCTTTCCTGCATTTGTTGTTGCATATGCGATAGAAGAACCAGATCATCTGCGAAGTCTAGATCGTCCAGCTGCATCCAAGCTGTCTACTATATCCCATGCTTCCCCTCAGATGTTGACATCTTCATGATCCAGTTGGTCACCAGGAGAAAGAAAAAGGGTGAGAGCAAGCAACCTTGCTTAACACCGGCCTTTACCTCGAACGAGTCTGTCAGTTGTCCTCCATGCACGATTTTACAGTTTAATCCATCATAGGAATTCCGTATGATATTGACTATCTTCTCAGGCACGCCGTAGTATCGAAGAAGCTTCCATAGTGTTGTCCTGTCCATGCTATAAAATGCTTTCCCGTAGTCAATGAAGTTTATGTAGAGTGATGAATTCCACTCAATTGATTGTTCCACAATGATCCACAGTGTTGCGAGTTGGTCTTTACACGACCGATCCTTACGGAATGCGGCCTGTTGGTCTCGAAGTCGGGCGTCTACAGAGTCCTTCATTCTGCTTAACAATACCCTGTTGAAGACTTTTCCTGGTATTGAGAGGAGTGGTGCCCCTGTAGTTATCACAGTTGCTGAGATCGCCTTTCATTGGCATTTCGATCAGGGTTTTTTTTTCCGGTTTGTTGGTACCTGTTCTTCATCCCAAGTCTTGCTGAAGAGAATGTGAAGTATCCTTGCATTTACTGTTACATTTGCATTCAGTGCCTCTGCTGGAATGTTGTATGGTCCTGCTACTTTGCCGCTCTTGATTTGTCTGATGGCCATGCTGATCTCTTCAATTGTTGGTGGTCCAACATAGATTGGGAAGTTTGTGTGTGCTTCTTCGATGTTGGTGGTTACTTTGCCTTCCTTACTTTTCACTGATTTACGATAATTTCCAGCGAGTCTCTCTGTTGTGTCATACAATTGTCTCATGTGTCCTTCTCTTGCAGCCTTTTCCACCGTCATTGCTAAATCCTCCACATATTTACGTTTGTCAGTTCTGATGCTCCTCTTCACTCGTTTGTTTACTTTTGTGTATTCAGCTTGTGCCTTAGCTTTTTCTGCTCTTGTTCGTCTGGTATTGATTGCTGCTTTCTTATTTCTCCGTTCTTGAATGTTTTACAGTGTATCAACAGTGATCCATTTCTTGTGGCCCAGAACCTCATGACATGTTGAAGTTATTGGTTCTTTTATCCCTTTCCAGTTGCTCTCCATAGTAATTCCTTCTCGATTGAGTGAATCACGAAAGGCCTGGAATCCATTGCTGAGGACTATCTTGAATTCGTTGAGTTTGTTAGTATCCCGAAGAAAAGCCGTATTAAACTTTTGTGATGTTGTCTGCCCCGTTGTCCAGTGCTTCTTGAGTTTCAATTTCATTTTGGCGACCTGCAAGCGATGACCTGATTCTATGTCTGCTCCTCTCTTGGTTCTCACCTCCTCTATTGTCCTCCTGAACATTTTATTGATGCAGATATGGTCGATTTGGTTCTGCGTAGTGTGACACGGTGAACTCCATGTGGTTTTGTGTATGCGTTTGTGCGGGAATATAGTGCCGCCTATAATAAGTTTGTTGAAGGCACATAGATTTGCAAATCTCTCACCATTTGCGTTCCTTTCTCTCAATCCATGTCGTCTCATGATGTCTTCATATCCGGTGTTGTCCATTCCATCCTTGGCATTTAGGTCTCCCATTAGAATGGTCAGATCTCTAATATGTATATAATTCGCTTTCGCAATGAATTATGAACGGTGGCGAGTCATCGTGTTGTTGAACGAATTCATAATGTAGTTTTTTAAGGGTAAATTTTAGTGTGGCCACTTAATTTTTATTTTACTTAGTTGATGTTCCTATGCGAGCTTATAAATATGACATATGATTACAACAGAATTCAGCTATATTAGTAGTTACATTCAACTTGAAGGTGTGTAGTCATTTCCTGTTCAAGTGTTCTTCAGTTTCATTTATTTATTTATCCCTGAATGATATTGGGTGGTTATCTATACTGTCTTCTTGGTGATATGTATGTTATCAGTTAACAACTTTCCAGTAAGACTAGTTGGCTCACCATTCTTTACGATAACATATGCATTATTGTTTATTCATGATGATAATTTCTACTCTTGGGTTTTTCTCGAAAGTATTTTCCGTTTCATATCGAAGTGAGCAAAAACCTCTGAGTTTAAGATGTTTTGTAAATATCTTTGAATTAGCAATCATAAATTTTTGATGAAAAATTATTGCCTTACAGACACGTGTATCCTTCAGTAACAAATGGTTACGAAATTAGTTATATTATGATTTGATTAATGGAGGTCTGGATTTCTTATCTTCCATGTCTTATAAAATAGTCTCAAACATGAGTTTGTTTTATGTTTTTAAAACTGCTCTCTAGTCGATAAAAATGTAATTGAATCTATCTTCATGTTGATCTATTGCTACAAATATGTGAATTCCATCGATAACTTCCACAACGATTCTCATCGCTTCAGCAACTTCAGAAGACTTTTCTTGTTAAGACTTATTGGACGAGTTCAACAGAGATCGAGTTTACATATAAGTTTACTCGGTTATTGTTAATTACAGAGTTCTGTGGTTGAGTAATTTTCACTAAATACAAAATTATGGTGAAATAATCAGTACAACAGAAATTCATAGTTATTAAAATGACTAAGTACAACTGACATACACTGGTAGTTAATAAGAAATTACAAAGGTCCGTTAAAATCTTCTGAATAATAATCGCCTTAAGTCGTTATGCAAAATCGGGATTTGCTGAATACAACTGGTTTACAGAGTGTTCTTTGGCGAGACTAATTTATGGACGAGCTAGTCAGATCTCAGGTAATAGATATTGCGTTTTGGCTCGAAATCCATTTATCCATATGGCCAAGTAGCATTTTGGCATCAGTTCGTGATGAAAACTTTATTGCTAACTCGAACGTACAACTTTGAATCTAAATCCTAGTTCTACACAAATTTTTAATCCTTGTTAGTAAACATCTTCAAGGTCCTTCAACCTTCGCTCTAAGCCTATCCGTAGATTGTATTCTCGTTCTACTCTTTTATTCTGTTGGCTATGACCCCTTTTCGTCTATCCAATGAGAAACTACTACATTCCTCCGAGTAAACGAAG